GGGGGGGGGGGGGGCAACCAGAACTCTACTTATTTTTTCAATTTTTGAAAAAAGTGGGGCAGCTTCACAGAAGTAATCATAGGTCATCTATGGGTACACGCATAAAAATTTTCAGAGCTCTAGCACTTCACGTTTAAGAACAGCCAAATTTATTCTGAAAAAAAACGAGTTTTTTTACATTAATTTATAACAAAATTGCAAATAAATAAATTTACGTAATTTTTCATGAAAGTTGCACTTAGATCCCTAAGAGTCTAAAAAATACTCATATGCGCATACAAACTGCAAAATAGATCAGAAATATGGAAAAAACTAAGAACAAAAAGATGGGACGTATATGTCTCACTGCTCCTCAAAAGGTTAATTATACAGTAAGTTTACAAAAGAAAGAATGATGTATGGACATTTACACAATTATATATATTCCACAATTATATATGTTTATGAAAGTTTATACATGTTTATGAATGTTTATGTATATTCATATATATGCATGCATGAAAAATTTTTTACCGGGATAATAACTTGAAAATCATATTGTATCACTTTTAAGTAAGGAAACAGTACTATAATATATGAAACGTTCTATTTATTAGTATATATTTATGTATATATGAAACGTACTATTTATTAGTATATATTTAGCATATGTTATTAGTATATATTTAAATATACAAAATAAGAAAATCGTTTGTGTTTTTTGTCGTCTAGGTGCCGGGCTAGAGATACGAAAGCTGGATGTACCCAGTATCGCCGATCCAAGGTGGCACAGGGTATTACTCAAATGTGAGTATGATCTCGGTGGCAAGGAACTGTATTCGGTAACGTGGAACAAAGACGGCCAGGAGATCTTCAGATTCATGCCGGGATCATCGACGCCTAAGCGACCTCAAAATATCAGCGGATTATATATTGACCTCGACCAAAGTGACCACAAACAAGTGACACTTTTGGGCCCAAACACTGGTAAAGGTATGTGACATCAATTTACAAGCAAGAATTATAAGTTATATATGTATTACTATACATTTCTCATGTAAAAAATGAATTTTTTATGTGCATGGAAAGAATAATTTTGCTGAAGTATCTAAAAATTTAGATAGATGCAGTAGATCTAAAAATAATTTTATTGTATCAAAATTATGTAGGGAACTCAAGAATAATGAGTAATGCTGCATAAAGTTTTGACAATCTATTTGCAAATAATTTGAGCATAATTATCCTACATAATTATTTTGATAATCCAACCAAATTATTTTCAAATCTGTCTAACTAAATTTTTAGATACATATTAATACTTTATCAGCAAAATCATTTCGTATACTATTAAAATCATTTTTGTAGAAAATTATAATTTTAATATGTGTAGATTATTAGAGGAATTAAAATAAATGTCAAAAATTTAATGATTTAATCAGACGTTTAATGTACGTTTAATTTTGTCTTTAGAAAAATTAACTTCCATTTTATCGTTGTTTATTCAGATATATTCATAAAATAAAAGAAATGTCTTTTTCACCCCTTTTTAAGCTTATATTTATAGTGTCTTTTCTCTAACTTGATGTTGCAGGTAAAGTTGACTTGACGGGGTCTTACGGCTGCGAGGTGTCATCCGAAGCGCCGAGTTTTGAGACAGATTACAGAGAGGCAAACATGAGCGTGGCTGTACCCCCTCAAAGTTCTCCGATACTCGAGGGGATGCGACCTTCTTACGAAATCGGCGAGATCCTCCAAGCGGAGTGCACGTCAGGGTTAAGTTACCCCCCGGCAGTTTTAACGTTCATCTTGAACGGTAAAGAGGTGAGTCGATGATATTCGTGAGTGCGAGAATTAAGATTACGCCATTTAAGGACGTATGTGTTACATCTAAAACAATATCAAAAATATATAAATTTTATAGATTGTTCAATTATTACGATGGAATATATATTATATGTAACATTTGAGAACGATTCTCTTATTAGTTTAAAAGTTATTTAATTTTTTGTCTTGGTTCTTAAAATCACATTTTGTAATACTTATTTGCAAATTTGATGAAGAAATAACGTTGAAAATTAAATCAAATATATTGGATTATATACTGGATCCACTTAAAAATTATTGACCTAAAACTACAGAAAAATATGGACATTTTGCTACATAAAACCATTAAAAGTCAAATTATTGTTCTTTTTTGCAGTTGGTTTCAAAGTATATTCACGAGTTAATAAAATTTTTTTAACGATATTGGCGGACATTAGGTTATTTTGAGTGATTGTTTGGCTGATATTGTATATTTTTAGCTGGTATTGTATAGTCAAAACTTCCTTAAATTTTCGAAAGATCACATTTGAAAAACAATCGGACAAATTTCCGTAATTCTCCACGTTCGTATACTTCGTATACGAGGCATGTTTTCAAATTTTTGCTTGATTTTTAAATTATTTCATTAGATCATTTATTAGGTAAAGAAGAGCTTTTTATTTATCTAAAGCAATTGTCAATCGAATGCAAATTTTCAGTTTCCAGCGTCCTCCTTCGATAGCTTCTGACTTAACAAACTTATTGAAATATTTTTGTTTAAATTTATCAAAGGAATATTTACTTTCGAAATATTATCTAACTACTTTAGGGCATATCCCTGTAGCGTCGGCAAACGCGAAACGAGCGAAAATTTCGTAATTAATCGCGCAACGTAATCCAAAGCTCGCTTCCGCGGGCTGTTGAGCGGGCATGGTAAACTAGGAACCACATAACTCCCATTATTCAATGCTACGCTGCGCACGTCATTCGCGAGGAGGTACTACTCGGTTTATTCAACGACAATTTGTCAAGCGAGGCCAGTTCGCGTGAGCATTTTTATTTCGCTCACTGACTGGCCGCACATTCAAGTCTCAATAAATACAATTCTATGAGCCACAAATTAATTTCTCGAGAATAAATTCGCGGAACTGCGACAAAAATATGCTATTCGTACAATGAAAATCGTAACTCAAATAAAATTGATGTAACAAATGACGTTTTAAATATTATTTTTTTCAAGAGACTCGACAATTAAAATAATCTGTTACACTTCTTCCTTTAACAAGCAATGGACTGGCAGACAATCTGTTATGATTGATTATACAAGTAAAGAAGCATCTGGATCAACTTAATATATTACTTTATTCGTTGAAGAGGAAAACGTATCTATTATTATAGACATCAGAACTGGAAAAAAAGAGAGTATAAATATAAACTTAGAAGAAAAATTATGCGGTTTACGAGTTATTCCCGTGTCTTAATTAAATGCCAATGTTTTGTGAACATTGGTAGTTTGTTTCATCAGCGAGAAACAATCTAATAATACAGGGCGCCTATCATAGAACAAGTCAAAATGGATTTCGATCGGAATTCCCTAGATTTATATTGTGTTTTCTAAGGAAAAACGGAATAATTCCGATTGGAATTCATTCCGACATGTTCCATAACAGGTACCCAGGTCTAGTAAGCAAGAAACATTAGATCAACATTTTGAAATATTGATTTTATGTGAATTTCATTAACGATTTTATCTAATAAATCTTTTATAAATATAATGATAATATATTACGTAATGATAGGATATTTTTCCGAATCTTAAAAAATATTTTAATAATATAAATTCCAAATATTTCGTAAATATTTGGAATTTATATTCGGAATACTACTCAACAAAAAATAGGGAACACTTTCAAAAAGTATATGAAAGCTCGAAATCTCTACTTTTAAAATCGACAATTTATATTTCAATCTGACTAATTCTTTACGATTTTTTTTTTATCAAATTATTGAACATTAAAGTAAAAATGATCACTTTTGCTTCAATGTTGAATAACTCTTGAAAAAAAATCGTACAACGTTCAATAAAAAAAAAATTGAAGGTAAAAATTCACTTTTTCGACTGTTGTAAACCGTATTTTTATATAATTTTTACTTCACGCTATAGATCTTTGTAAAATTTGTACAAAATTTTCAGATTTGACGGGTATCTATTTGTGTCCGTATAACTACGTAAAAAATCAGTCAAATGGAAATATCAATTACCGACTTTAAAAGTAGAGATTAATTTTCAAATGCTTTTTTGATTTTTTGCCTGCGATGATTTTTCACCGAGTTACGGTATTCTGAATATTGCGCAATTTTGAACGTGTTCAAAAGTGTTCCCTATTTTTTGTTGAGTAGTATAAAACGTTGAAAGAATATTGTTGAGACGTTGCAATGTTAAATATTGATGTGTAAATGTTTTTTCAACATTAAATCTTTGTTGGTTTTCCTATATTGATTATTAATGTTGCTACAACGTTGTTGTATACAATATTGCCTATAGGTATATGTGAGCAAAGTAATTTTTTCATATTTAAAAATTACATAAGATAGAATAAAAGGCGCAATATTATGAAATTCTTCACCCATGTTTTAATAAAATGATTTTTAGAAAGTGACCCAAAGGCTTTAAGATGAAAGCAAATAAAATGTATTTTTTAAATATTTCGTTTAATTTTATATAAAAATTAATTTGGGGATTAAATGTTTTTGGAAGTTTATGTAATATTGAATAAATGTTGAATCAATGTTCTCGAATATTCTTGAATTGTAACGTCTGCAAGATGTTCATTATTTTAACGAACATTTCTGGGATGTTGATTCAATATTGCATAATTTTATTATAAAACTTTTGTATAAAAAATTTTTTTGATATCTTAAATAGTTGTTGAGATATAATTGAAAAAGTTAGAAACGTTTTTTTACTAGAAAGAGTGATTTAAATATTAGTTTTCTGCACTTATATTTCTAAATTTATGTGTAATCCTTACATGTATATAAAGTTTATTAAAAAATCATAAAATTTCATAAAATCTGAATTTGACACTTTATGAGATTTTCTTTGTAAAATGTACTTTGCTTAAAACTTTTTAAAATCCAAATTTATTACGAAATCTACGGTATGTTTTTGTATGGCCTGTACTGTAGAAGCACTCAATAAGAAAACACCTTTCCTGTGAAATAATTAAGGGGATGCTGGAGCAATCAAATTATCGACATTACAGTCGTATAAAAATCTTCGAATTGATTGAACGGAATCAAAAATCCTTTTACACGATTAAAGTAGACGCAAAATTAGGTAGTGTAGTGGACTTTATACTAAAATCAAAAGAAAGTGAAGTAAGTTTTTAACTTTTTTCGATTTTAAAGTAAAGTCTATTGCACCACCTTCTAATTTTGCGTCTACTTTAATCCAGTAAAAGGATTTCTTATTCCGTTCAGTCAATTTGAAGGTTTTTATACGACTGTAATGTCGATATTGGTTATTCCAGCATTCCTTTAAGGCACTCATATTTATAAACTGGCTTATACAGGGTGTTCCATAATTTGGCTCAAATGAAATGTGTGTGTGCGCGTGCGTGCGTGCGTGCGTGCGTGCGCGAGTGTGTGTGTGTGTGTGTGGAATTAAATACTCGATCTTAATACGAAAAACAATTGAAATGAAGAAGGTTATAATGGAAGAGTATATAATGGTTTACTTTCAACACAATCCTGATGGTCATCCTTCATCAGATTGTTTTAGTCTCTTAAAAATAATAGTAACGATTCTAAAACGTCGTTTGTTATATCAATTTTATTTGAGTTATGATTTATATTGTACACAGAAAGATTTTGCTAAGGTATCTAAAAATTTAGCTAGATACAGATCTAAAAATAATTTTATTGGACTATCAAAATAATTTAGGAAAATCTTAAACATGATGTACAGTGCTACAATTAGTTTTAACATTCTAACAATCAATTTGTGTGAACATTCTATATAATTATTTTGATGGTCCAATAAAATTACTTTCAGATCTATATCTAGCCAAATTTTTAGATACTTTGCCAAAATTATTCTTTCTGTGTATAAATAGCATATTTTCGTTACAATTCTGTTGCCTTTATGTAAGTTTATTCTTGAGAAACTAAGCAGCTCATAGCACTGTATTTATTAATAATATCAGGTTTCTCATCGTGATGAAGTGAAGTGCAATGTTCACGAAATGATGGCGTTTAATGATGTATCAAGGCATGGAGATAATTCGTAAACCGCGTAATTTCCTTGAAGAAAATATCCGCAAAAATCTCAAAAGTATAGTATATATATTAAGTAATTAGAGAGTCCAAAATAAAACCATAAACTAAAATGTAATACATAGAATAACTGCCTTCTGTAGTGTGTGTGTGTGTGAATTAATTAATAAACAAAAGTGACATATGTACAGTCAAAGATCGAAATGAAATCTTTATTTGCAATCTCTTATAATTTTTCGTATTTTATATCCCATTCATATTAGATATCTCAGTAACTCGTGGCTGTAATATAAATCCTATCACTATACAAGTTATTTAAAATATAGACTTTACAAATTACATTTTAAACTCTTCAAACTCTGTGCCTGATTCTTAACAGGTAAACAGAGCCTTAACTAAAGACTTGCGAGGAATTGGCAACATAGACGGAAAGCTGATCTCTACGACGCGGTTGGGTCTGATAATGCGCTTGGAACGGCATCATTTTTCCAGCGGCAGTTTGAAACTAACTTGTCAATCGACTCTACCAGGAATCGCTGATGACAAGCCTCTCAAGACCATGGAGATTGCCACTCTCGCCGCTAGCAACCAACGTCTCGCCCAAGAACCCCCTAAATCAGGTTCAAGGTCGAATATCGAGCTCTACCCGATTCTGACTTGCTGGACAATGACCATGATTCACGTGATTCGTTACAACAGTCTCAGATTTCTGCGCGTTTAATGTCGGCGTGATATTTCGATCAATGGCATCGCGCGATACCGTTCAAGTACTAATTAGTGTATACGTCTCTACGCATTCTCGCGATCAGGAAAAACATCGCGCATCGTCATCGGCTTCTCTCTACATCTACATGTCAATCGAGAGCGATGCATACTTTAGTGCGTCCCGAATTTTCGCGCAATCCATACACGTTTGCTCGCATGTGTACACAATGTTTAGAGCACCCCGTATATTATATATAAGTCAGAGATAGCAATACAACTCTGCGTAAAATAGGTCGCAGCGGCGAGCGCATGATGATTGTACATAGTGTATAATTGTGAATTAGCATTACAACAAATTGTCGTGTATAATTAACTGGACGGAAGGACTCTGCGGGGATGATGAAGGGAACACGATGAAAGTAACATGGAAATATATCGGAATTCACGGGGACGCGCGCGACCTCGCGAGCAACTTCTTCGAGGGAAAAATAACGCGGCTGGAACGTCGCATTCGAGAGAAATATATATCTATCATTTGTCAGACCAGAAATATAGTTTAAGAAATATAAATGTATACGGGTCGTAATGTTAAGTACGACTCGACATCGGCGTATGTAGTGTAAGTATGTGGTTAATTCGACTATATTCTCCACATCCGATCTTCCTCAAACCACGAGGCATACGGGAGTTCTACGTGTGAAATAAGAGATACGACGCTTTTGTTCAGCAATTTTACACGATCCAAATCGTCGTTATCGAAGCGATGGCAGTAATAAAACGATGATTTAATCAACTTGGTTGGTATATTTCTCGCGAACCAGAACATCCTTTTCCATGTAGCACAAAATCTTGCAGCAATATTGTTCAATGTTGCAATGTTATCGCAATATTGTTCGAATAATCTCTGCTGTATGGGTCTTTGGTGTAACGATTTCATCGAACTCGCTAATTATGTCATATGTATAGATCAACGGATTGCGATCGTTATCATACTGAAGAATAAGTCGGTACAAGCGGCAGGAGCAACATGGCTATTCGAAGCTCTCATGATTCCATGGCCAGCATTTGTATAACAGAGAACGGACCATCATGACTCGATATACGTAATTTGCGTAAGTAACAGAGACCGGCGAGATAAGAGCAGTTTAAAAAGTCAAAGAAGAAGCAAGGGACGGAGAAAATAAACAATAAATGGAGAAATTAGCGAGAGAAAGACCTTCTCGAGAAAACCATCGAAAGAGTAGGGCGGTCACATAAACCGTCTCGGATTCACCAAACGGATCTCCTCCCTCACCCCTTTGATCCGATCTATCGACACACCGACTCTGTGACTCTCCTTCCTCTCCTTGATTCGATTTCCAGATTAATTAAGGATCGCTGGTCTGAAAGGACGCCCTCGAGATCCTTTCAACGAGGTCGAGTATCTGTCCGTCCCGGGGGTGACGTAACGAGCACCGATTCGAATCGGTTTCACGAGACACCGAGCCTGATAATGACATTTTCCGTCGGCTCAGGTAAGTCTATCTTACGACTACATGCCTGCTTACTGATTACGAGTCCCTTCGACAAAATCTTCAATTTAGTTTCGCCACATGAGAAGGCTTTCATGAACCTACGCCCCAACCTCTTAATCTCTTTCATCCTCGTTAGCTTGTGAGAGATATTGTGTTTTATCCCGATATTTTTATTATAATAATCTATAAGATTGATTTTTATATGAAGAAATTATACGAATATGACTCTGGTATATTTTTTGTTTCTATTCATTTTTACTTAATTCAAATTGGCAGCCGAAATATTTTTATTTTATCATTTTTATCTATTCATGACTATCATAATAACATTTGTTTAATTATTTTTATTCTAGAAATCATTAGTGCCCTAATGCAAATCCTCGACGTTTTCATTATTTATGTAATATTCTTATAATTTAATAGTTCGCGGTAGGATACCTACGATTGATTCCAGATGACCTACATAAGGCTGCCGAGAGTGCCGAGGACAATAGTCAAGCATCCAACTCACAGCTGAATTGTAGACGACGCGACGTTAGGAAGGCTTTAGGGCTCTCGAAGTCGAAGGTGGAGACTCACCCATTACCCACTCGCTATTACTCCCTCTCCACTTTGCTTTATCACCTCTTCCCTAACAGACACTAGACGGAGCGAACGAGCGAGCGAGCGAGAGAGAGAGAGAGAGAGAGAGAGAGAGAGAGAGAGAGAGAGAGTGTGTGTGTGTGTACATATATATACAGTATGTAGTGTGTACTCTCATATACGAATATGTAGATATGATAGCTACGTACTTGTGACGATGCGTGCGAGCGCGCGTACGTACGTGCAAATTCGCGCAGTTGTGTGTATATCCCGCAAGAGATGCCAGGAACTGATACGAAATCGATAGAACCCAGTTTCCGACGTGACGTGCCGGCATTATATCATTCGCCCCACAGCAGCATCAACTGGCGACAGGAACAACACTACACCAGCGATCTTCTAGGCGATTCGTGCGTCACTCGAGCTTTGACTATGGAGATAGATATGTGCCTTTCATCTCTCTCTCTCTCTCTCTCTCTCTCTCTCTCTCTCTCTCTCTCTCTCACTCTCTCTCTCTCTCGATCTCTCCTTCTTTCTCTGTCAAAAAGAAATAATATGGAAAGATTGACCCAATATCGAGTCAATATCATGAATTTCCAAAAAAGGATTAAACAAGGATCATTTTACATTTCATTCATTTGCGCCATATATATATATACATATATATATATATATATATATGTATATAAGCATCAAATAGAAAATTCAATATATCAATACGTTGATAGAAAAATGACACATGTCGAAATTAGCAATTTTTCAATAGAACATCTTTAATATTCTAAATTGGAAACAACGTTCCAATTAGAATAGTGAATATGCAATTTTTATAATTTTACTTCCTTTTATATTTTTAGTTATAATGCATTCCTTAATCTTTAAGTAAGTCTTAAATAGATTAGTAAGACTATTCAGAACACACACACCCCAAAAAATTTTTAATTTTATAGTTATATTTTTTAATAGTATGTTATGTTATAATTAAATTTACATTATACGATATATAGTTATACCCTAATGAGAAATACAGAGAGAGAAATATAATTTTTTTCTTGCTTATGACGTCACGATTCAATATGGCTGAGGTGAGTATTCAGAAGCCATAAAACTTCTGGACATCTGGACAATACTTTTTATTTTCTTTTTCCAGAACAAGGTTTTAACGAAGATTATACCTGAAGTGCTGTGACCACTTAAAAGTTAAAACTTAAACTTTTAACAAAAATATATTAGTCTTTAAGGTCGATTTTCTTTTATTAAAAAAATGCTAACATTTTATTGTATTATTTTTTTATCAACGCAGTCACGTGTACATATATGGTATATATTCGTAATAGAATTATAAAGAAGATAGTGGAAAAATGATAATAATATAATGTAAATTTAATTGATATTCGATATGATTTTAATAAAAAAAGACCAATAAAATAACGTTAATGTTTTAGGGGTTGTAAAATACAGATACACACACATAACTATTACAAGTTATATTATTGTTCAAAGGGATATATCAGTAAATGTAGCATACGATGGCTCAGAAAGATGAAAATTTTATTTACGATTAAATGAACAATTTGCTCGTGCGTAATGCGCAAGTAATACGCATTTACATGGAAACCAGATTAAATCAGATTTTCATTGGTCACGAAAAGTGAGAGGTAATTGCTCAGAATTAATATCGCGCCTCATATTTTCGTTCAGCTGGTGCTCTTGCGCTTTTGTGAATATAAATCACTAGTCACAAATAATAAATCGAATGCTGTTTAATCGCAAGCATTTAATATGAGACATTGGAACTGGATAATCGTTTTTGTCCGCAAATGCAAAATGAATATTTTATCAAACGTAGAAAACTTATTGTAGCATTCAATATGATTCCGTTTTATGAAGCAATTCTCAATATCTTGCAAGAACAATTAGGCTTGTGTTTCAATTAATAACTCAATTAAATTAATTACTAACTCTCTCTCTGACGTCAACTTCGTCAGAGAGAGATTCGCTATTTCAAATCGCGATCACTATAATATCCGCGTTCTCTCTCGATGACAAACTTAGGAAACGTGATGCAATTGGCAAACAGAAAGCCCGTATGTCGATAAGGAATCATGATGTTGACGGTTACATGGTTACATCACGACTACTCGTGAGTGATTTCCTAACGGAAAATTTGCTACCGAATATACCATCACTCGCAGTAGCTTTTCTTTTCAAATTTCGGTATATGCGGGTAAAAATTTTGATAAAATATTATTAATTAAGATCCGCTTTTATTACATTAGTTCTTTTTTTTCACTTTATACTTGTGTTATTTACATATCGGTCGATTTTTATTTATTAAAAACTTTTGGTTGCAATAAAACGTTTTAATGTAGATAATTTTTAATTTTTTAATATATAATCAGTGTTTTTTAATATATCAGTAATTGTATTTTAACTTGACATTCGTCAAGAGTTAAACTGATATCGTTCAAAAATACTTTACTAACAGTTTTATGTTTCAGAATCATAATATTTGCATAACTTTAAGAATTGAATTCTTAGCGTTATACAGCTCGGAGAAAAATCTCAAAATTTTATTTTCATTATACGCGAAACTTTTGAAAAGTCGCGAACCACTTAGACAGAAAGGTTCTTGTTAGAAGATTCAGTATACGGTTCAATCTCTCTTAAGGTAGTAGTTTGTTCCTGATGGAAAACTACGAGAAAGCAATTCTCAAAAAATTGTCAACACGGAGAAATTCCAAGTTTTTGATCCGTAGCGCAGCAATGCCACACACACACACACACACACACACACACACACACACACACACATAGATACACACACACACACAAATCTATAAAAGATTTTATTAAATAGTCGGAACCACTCACTCCATTCTTCGTTGAAAGGAGCACGAAGTTTTAAGGGAACGAGAGGAAAGAGAGAGGCTACATTGGCTAGATTAAAGGAAAAAACTTCGCGATTATTCAACTTTACCATTCCAGCTTTTCGGGACACTTCATTCTTTTCGCAAATGCGATTGACGAATTTGAAGCATCGTATATTTATCCATTTGCAAGCACTCGCCTTATTCGCTAACTAGGCTAAGCGAACTAAATTAACAAGTTATAATGTAATAAAAACGCAATTACATATATCTCTAGTTATATACTTTATCAGAATTTTGATTAATGTATTTAATATTAAAAATTAAAAAGTTCACTAGCAGAAAAAATTATTTTGCAATTAATACAATTTAGCTATAATTTATATATATTAAAATTTTCAATGTTTTTTTGTATTGTGTAGGTATATTTCTTTAATAAAACTATAAATATAATATACTAGTTTACAAAGTTTTGTGCAAAAGCATTTGAAGACTGTTTCTAGAGTGGTTTTTGACGTTAAACTCGAACCTGCTATCGAAATATTCCCACCAAGTTCAGTTTTGAGATATAGAAGACACTAGATAAGAAGACATTTTTTTCGATATACATACAGTGAATATTTATTAAAACCAGAAAACAAATCAAAAGTTTGGAGCATTTAATTTTTGTTTTTTACGATTTTAAATCGATTTATCTAACAATAGATGCCTATCTAACAATAGATAGTATATTTCTGTCTCAATATCCCTGATAATGTTTCTCAATTATCATCAAATCCTGATGGAGAAACGTGCTCA